GGTTCCTTAAAGGGATCTATAAAGGTTTCTATAAGGGTACTATTATAAGGGTTGTATATGTGGGTAGTTCAAAAGCCTAAACAATTACCCATACTATTCCTTAGGGTTCCTTAAACCAACTATACTATCAAGGAGCCCAAAGCTCGGTTATCGGGCTGAGTCGAAGTAATATAGAAGCCTAAGTACCTACCCTAATATTGCTCGTTAGGGTTCCTGAATATAACTAATTATAAAGGAGCCCAAAAGCCCTGTTCAAATTATTGAGGCTCCTACATTAGGCCAGCGGGGATGCTTTTGGGAACGATCTTTTGTTTCGGGTTTAGTGTGGTTTAGGGTTTACGTTAGGGCTCAGGGCTCAGGGCTTAGGGTGGTGCCCTTGACACTTTTCGGCTTACATATATATATATATATATATCCTATCAAAGTGAAAAGGGTACCTTTGAGCCTTTTGGCTTGCACATTCGTAGTACTCTAAATTATCGTTCCTTTTAGTGCCCTTTTCATCAGGGTGCCGTACCACTTTGGGGACCTTGAATTACAAGGGACCCCGAATGTAGAGAACAACCCACATAGAACCCTTATAGTACCCTTATAGAAGCCTCATAGAAACCTTTATAGATCCCTTTAAGGAACCCTAAGCGGGACATTAATTTAGAGAACTACCCGCCCACAGTGGCCAACGCTTGGGAGGCCGCTGCTGTTGCCTTGGAGCTGGCCTGGGCGGAGCTGGAGACCGGGCCGAGCGTGTTGTTGATACGTATATATATATATATACACATACATATATATATATATATGGTGCCCCCCCCCCCCCACGTACCCACCATTTTTATGCTTTCCTGCTCAGGTGTGGACCTCAGCACGCCGATCCAGCTTTATGGCATCGAGGGGCCGTGGCATGCATTAGGACGTAGGTGAAATCGTGCTCCCCCACACAGTCCCCCTCGTGCTCCCCTATACAGTCCCAATCGTGCTCCCCTACACAGTCCCAGTCATGCTCCCCTACACAGTCCCAGTCGTGCTCCTCTGCGCAGTCCCAGTCGTGCTCCCCTACACAGTCCCAATCGTGCTTCCCTACACAGTCCCAAAACCACGCGGTCGTCCCGTACCCAATCCCAAAACACTGGGACCTCTCAGCACTTTCGCACTCCAGAGGCTCAAAACCATGGGAGGTCCCAATGTTTTGAGCTTCCACGTCCTAAAACATTGGGACGTCTCAGCACTTTCGCACTCCAGAGTCCCAAAACCATGAGAGGTCCCAATGTTTTGAGGTTTTAGAGCCCAAAACCATGTAAGGTCCCAATAAAACCAATAAAACCAATGTTTTCAGAGTCTCGGGGGAGTGCGAGCCTGGAGACCCCCGAAACATTGGTTTTATTTGTTTTATTGGGACTTTCCTGGGTTTGAGCTCCTAAACCCTCAAAACATTGGGACCTCTCATGGTTTTCGCATCCCAGACTCAGCAAACCATGAAAGGTCCCAATGTTTTGGGCCTGTATAGACCAAAATATTGGGACCTGTCATGGTTTTCGCATCCCAGAGTCACCAAACCATGAAAGGTCCCAAAGTTTTGGGCCCGAATAGACCAAAATATTGGGACTTCTCATGGTTTTCCCCGTAGGCTTTGTCAAGGTCGGAGACTTGCCGGCGAGGGACGAAATTGATGATGGTATCAAGAATAAAGTACAAATTTTGGACGTGCTGCTTGAGTATGAGGGGGCTATAGACTTGAAGGAGGTAGAGACCATGTTTCTTCAACAGCGCTACGAAGATCTTCCGCCTCCTATCAAGGTCCCGGGCAACAACGTGACCCCATTCACTATGCAGCTGGTAGTGCTACCCCTCGCAGAAGGAAAATGGAACATCGTCAAACACATTCGCTTTGCTGACTGCGCAAAGGTCATGAACAACACCATCAAGTCCATGTCTGTTGGCCGCGCTCTGGAGATCGACTACCAGAAAAATTTTAAAGACGGAAGCCGTGCCCTACAGTACCTTCTGGAGGGCATGGGTGGATTTCAAGTTCGCTACCAAAAGCTCGTGCCTGCAAACAACAGCAAGCTTGTCAGGGAAACGGAAGACATCAGGAAGGGCTTCCAGTATATCCGCGAGAACGGCCCGCAGGACAACTCCACGGACCAGTTCACCAGTTGGACAGAAGAGGAGGTGAACAACCCCAACGGCATCCTCTATCGGTGGGATAGAGGCACGGTGAAAGAGTTTCTTCGCTGCCTTGCAGATCAGGGAAGCCAGCCCAACACTATTTCCGATTGGCTTCTGGTAGACTTCAAGCCATGGGCCCTAAACCTTATCGTCGCACCGTTGTCGCCTTTCGTCCTCGAGCATGCCATCATCTGGATTAAAGTCCGAGATCGGGAAGAGCCCCTTGTCGTACACCATGGCCAACCTGATGTCTGCCTTTTGGAAGATTCAAGAAAACAGCCCGGACGACAAGCCTTGCTTTCAAACCGCGAACCACTTGATTATTTCCGTAAAGAGCGCGGCCGTCGCACGAAACCCAGGGTGTTCGATGACGGAAACCTAAATTTGGAGCAGCCTGCATCTGTTAAGGCCGTCGCTGAGGTTTCCGGCATAGATCGGAAAACAATGGCTCGCTACAATGCGTCTTCGTACGAGAACAACTAATTCTGCCAAGCGTGCTCCAATCCTTACGATCGCCACCAGGAACCCCCAATGGCTCCGAACGTTTCTTCGGATGAGGTTTCCTTCGACATCTTCTTCAACATCGCGCGTCCGTCGTTCCACAGAGACTTCAATCAAGCGGATTTCATTGCTGTGTTCAAGCGCTCAGCAGTGGTCGTCTTCACGGAGATTGGCATCTACGTCCGTCCTCCCAGTACCAAAAGGAGCATGTGAAACGCCATGCCTGGCCAGACAAAGATCGCGGGATGTTGTCTGTCTGCGCAAGGCCCAGGTACCATGCGTATTTGAGGGGCAAGCTGTCCGCCAACGGAGCAGACGCTGACCATCTTCAATGGTCTCTGAATCTGCTGCAAGCTGCACTTGACGGTGAAGTCGTCTCTTCTTGCACCACCATCTTTGGCAAGAGTGCCTTTGCGGGGCAGAAGTTCATCCAGGAGAACCGCCCCGAACTCGCAGGCATTGATGCCAACACTATCTTCTACCCTGACAAGGACACTTCTGGCGCTCTTGAAAGAGAATCCAAAAGGTTCAAGTCCGTCAAATCCGCAAGCAACTTGCTGGCACCCGCATCTTCAGCATCTTCAAGCGCCCAGCACGCCAAACCAGAGCACGAGGTTCAAGAGCATGAGCAGGCAGGCCGCGATTCATTTCCTTCTACCGTCAACAAAGAGGAGGCCATGAAGAAAGATGATGAGGCCGTCAAGTTCCGAGGGGTAGCCTCGTTCTGATTTAGACACCTGCTTTGGATTACAGCTGCGTCGTTGCGATTTAGACATATGTTTTGGATAAAACTTGCTTTGTTGCTGTTTAGACATATGTTTTGGATTAAACTTGCCGCTTGAAGCTTGTATTCGGACCTTTCTCGTGGTATCGATATTCCAAGTAGCCATCCTGCACAAACATACTCAGGTCTCCGTCAAGCTGGAGAAAGACGAATGCGAAAGGAAATTTGGTTCTTTCAAGAAGCAGTTGGGAAATCGTGTGTTGCACATCAATATCTCTGACTCCTCCATGCCACCATCTCCCAAAGCTTCTTCCGCGAAGGTATTAGAGCATCATGAGCATCATATTATGCAAACCCTAAATCCTTAACCTTACCCCCAATCCAAGGTGCCTTGGCCTGGAGCAGCACAGAGTGATTTCATTTCTTAGCTTGGGTTTAGTGGGTTGGTGTCGTTGCAGAAAAAGAGTATTAGACAATACTTAGCATAATTATTTTGGTTTTGGTGCGTTCGGGATAGAGTCGCAGAAGGAGTATCAGGCAATTCTTAGCATGATTATTTTGGTTTTAGTGTGTTCGGGATAGAGTCGCAGGAGGAGTATTAGGCAATACTTAACAGGATTACTTTGGTTTTCGTGTGTTCGGTTTTAATGTGTAATGTCGTTGTAGATAAGGAGCATTATGCAATACTTGAAATGATTATTCCGGTTTTAATGGGTGTATGCCGTTGTAGCCAAGGAGTATTAGGCAATACTTAACACTACTATTTTGGTTTTAATGGGTTTATGTCGCTGTAGACAAGGAGAATTAGACAATACTTAGCATGATTATGCTGGGTTTAGTGTGTTCATGGTAGGAGTCGCAGAAGGCTTCGAGGTAGATCCTGGGGAAGGGGGTAGCATATATATATAT